TGGAGACCCTTTCATTTCTGTGTTGGAAGCTGATAATGAGACTGGGCAGCAGCGTTCTTAGAGCCTGAGAAGTTCAGGAAGATTTATTACCTTCTAGTGGCAGAAAATGAGCACGTTATTCAGCAATTTCTCATTAGCCAGTTATAAATCTAAGATGGAGCTCCCATGTCACTGAGTGTCCTTCGTTTTGTTCCAGAAAATAAATCTGGATGTCAGATCAGTATATATTGCTTCTTTCCACAGAAAAGGACTGCTAACCCCAAGCAATCAAATGCAAGTCAAAATAATCTGGCTGGCTTCAAAATAGAACATGAGGTGATCTTAATTTTCCTTAAAATTTTAAACAATTACAGCTCAGTCATGTTTCTCCAAAACTACAAAGAATGGAATTTAGCTTGGAAAAAAAAAAAAAAAACAACAACAACAACAACAAAAAAAAAACCAAACAACAACAAAAACAAACAAAAAAAAAAAAAAAGAAAAATTAAATTCTCCCACAATTACATTGCTTCAGGACCTACAGTTTTCATGAAAACACTACCAAATACTTACTTTCATAACGAACTAATAGAAGTTTTCACAAAAGAAAAACTACTCTTATGCAACAAGACTTCACTTCCCCATTCCTCCACAGCTATTAGAAGAAACATTAAAAACTTTCAAGAGTCCTTCACTTTCAGCTCCCCTAGCAGTGTGCTTGGCTGTGAGACTTCGAGGCAGGCCAGATGAGCTTAATTCCCGCCATTCACCCAGAGGGTGAGGCTTTTCAGCGTGTTTTTAAGATCAGAGTCAGGTGTTACAGACCACTGACGGGGCCGTGGAGACTTCCCAGTCCCTACTCTGGGGGGTCTGTGAGATGCTGCTCCAGCTCCACAGCAGCCTGGCAGGGAGGAGCAGCCTGGAAAGCTCCACTCTCTGCTCTCCAGCGTGGTCTGGAAGCTGTTGCACAGTCCATGCAGTGGCTGATCCGGGACTCAAATTTCTCCCCAGGGAAGAAATCCTCAAGCTCCAGAGGTGGGCAAGTCTCCAGTCTCACGCTGTAATGGGAACGTGCTAATTACATTACAATTAGCCTTCAGGGAACACCGCCAAAGGAAGGGCTCCTGGCAGGGTAAGTGTAAATCTATCACAATCCATGAAAGAGAACTGTTGGCTGTTGCTGTGCCACACCTGTATCGGGAGCGATGGAGAGGACAGTCCTGCCCAGCCCCGCACCACGAGCCTGCTGCTGCCTCGTCGTAAAGAAAGGGCCGATACACCGATTTGACAGCAAAGGACCAGGATAACACAAGTTAACACAACCACCTAGAACCTGGTATTTATTACAGCCTGAGTTTTAAAGTGCCTCCGTCCAGCTTGGTGTGCTCAGCCAGAGAGAAGGGAGAGCCGAAACCGTAAGGTAGCAAGTGAAATCAAAGGAGTATGTGTGTGTGGTTGGGGGAGAGGAATTTGCATCATGTAGGCTCAGAGCAGCAAGAAAATCAAAGGCGGAGGAGAGGATGGGGCTGTGGATAAGCAGACACACGAGCAGGAACATATTTCTAACCCTGCACCCAGCTATGCAAACCTCATTTAAGCTAGGTTCCTTCAGCAGCCATGCACAGTTACACAATCCCCTCTAGAGGAAGGAAGGAGAATTGAGGTTCTTCGCCAGCACCATCCCTCTGACCACAGGCTCCAAAAATTGCATTTTCTGTTTGAGCTGGTCCATTGCCCCAGTCCACCACAACCAGTGCAAGAGAGGGTTTGCACCAGACCAGGCCCAGAGCAGTTTCAGCCCAAGGAACGCACCCTGCTTGTGTTCAGACTAGATAAGCACATGGAGAAGAGCCCAAGGAAGACTTACTGGTCCCATGCAGCAACTATTCACAGGACCAGTGTTTCCCAGTGTCACTGATTCAGACATAATTCACCTGAACACACCAGCTTCAGTTTTCTTATCACACCTCCTGTTCCACTGACAATAGCGACCAAGCACAGCTGAGCTGTTTCACCTCTGACACCTCATGGATTCTGGAAGGAGATGGGTCACGAATGGAGAAAAGCAGGTGAGCTTCTGGACTGCACCACAGGCAGAACCCAGGGTGTGCATGGCCTTTTCCAGATGGAAAAAAAAAACCTTTGTAACCATCACAGAGAGGACAGACATTTAACAGACATGGAGACAGGTAAATCTATTCTGCAGAGGTTTAATTTACCTAGCTTGGCTATCACTAACAGCCTAGGCTACACAAGAAGTATTTATTCCACTACTTTGATAAGCTTTGTACTCCATACCAAGTTCTATGACCAGCTTAGGGCAAGAAGTTTAAAGAGACTTAAAAGCAGCCCTAGATTCAGATTCCCTCTATTCTTGCCTGTACTGCAGTAACACTGGGCAGCCTAAGCTGAATGGCTAAAACCTGTCTAGGTGGAATAAATTTTCAACTCAAGTCCAGTGCATTGCATCAAGATGCATCCCAAAAGTGAGAGCTGATGGCTGGAGTCAATAGGAACTTTGTGGACACAAAGTTAAAAGAGCAATTCACTCTTGAACTGGAACAAGCTTCTATGCAGTAACAAATGGAAAGGTTTCAGTAAAGAAGAAAATTCCTACTTTGACCTTGATCATGACAGCTTTTATATAGTCTGCCACATCAATTTACATACATTAACCATCCATGTCAGCAGATTAGGAAAAAAAAAAGTATCTACAAGTGTTTTTTGTCCTAGGTAGTCAAACACTGTTGTACTTAAAGCAACTTGAGCAACGCAGTGAAGAACTGCTGATATTAAGCAGTAGCACCTCAATCAGAAGTGGCGAAAAATTTTTTTTTTATGAAGACATACTCCAGCCTTTCTGTGTTTCCCGGTAGAAGCTGATTTATCTATTGTAAAATTCAACAGCCTCAGCAACGCTGAGCAGCCTCTCAGAGGGAGCATGATTTGGCAGAGCTTAAAGGAAGAAGACAAAAACCGGTTTGCAAACTGTGAAAAGCTGATAGCACTGGATTTTCCTGCTTAAGCCGTGATCACGATCCTGGTAAGGTACAACACAACTGCATTCTTGGCAGTTCTTGTAAGCAGCCCCACCAGAGAGACTCCATCTCTCCCACTTTCCCTCAACAACTGCAAGTACAAGTAGGCTTCTCCTAGGAGGTCTTGTATTTATTTCATCTCTTCCACTTTCAGCCATTTGAAACATTGCTATTGTGGCGGTGCTGGTGAAATTCAGAGCTTGGCAGAGCATCATTTGAAAAACACGGTGAAGTTTCATCTCACCTAGAACAAACACCAAGGGCTTGCTCAGAAGAGGCAGCTGACCTTTCCTGTCCCACATTGCTGGCGAGATGCAGCTTCTCCCTGACAGAGCACACACAGCTGGAGCCGCAGCTGACAGGCAGCATCTTGGCCTCCTTGCAAATTAGTGACTTAACGGGTGATGAATGATCTCACTGCACATACAGAGCTTTTACAGCTTCCCACCCAGCTCAGCTTCACTTTCCTTACAGGACCCTTTTTCTTTTTTTTTTTTTTTCTCCCCCCACCCCATGGCCACATCCTGCAAACCTTTCTCAAAGCCACAGAGAGGTGACCAGCCTTCCCCCTGTCCCAGTGCCTGTTTGGTGCTGGGTACCCGGGCCCTGCTCTAAGCCTGGGGAGTTTGGGGAAGGTCAGCCAGCTCCCGACCGAGCCAAGAGTCTGTTGCAAAAGGCAGAGAGCCTGTTCTGAACCTACTGGGACAGGTAAGGGTGCAGGAGAAGGGAAGCCAGGACACATCTCAGCTGCCTCAGGGGGCACAAATGTCTTAAAGTCAGGGAGCTGTGAACCCCGAAAAACCCAGGTAGCCAACTTCTGCGCCTGCATCTGCTACGGGAGCACAGGCAGCTGTGCAACAGCAAAACAGCTTTGACTGAACCTGCTCACCTTCCCGGGACCCAAGCACAGAGAAACCTTTGCCCAGCAGAAGTGAGCTGGACACTGTAACTGCAGTGATCTGTTCTCCCTCAAGTCAGTGACTATGGTATTTTCTGCTCTACTGGCTCTACTTTTTCTGTCAGCTTTTTCTGATTGTGTTCAGCTTGGAATTCATAATACGCATTATAGCTTTCCAGGATACTTTGTACATCTCTAGGTCATTGGCTTCCATAGGCTGTCAGGGGCCCCGAAATCTCCCTCCAGACCCAGTATATCCTGTTCACTTAAGTAATCCCAACTGAAAACTTTGCATCCAACACAGAGCAGTCTTTAACACAGCATATCAGTGCAGTAACACCAGTGATGTTACCCAACCCAAACGTCCGCTTTTTTGGGGGTAAAAATCAGTATCATTACTTCTACAAGGCAAGCAGGATTCAGTCCTGCTGACCAAGAACATAATAAAAGATATTTTAAATTTACATAAAGCTCAGTGCAGTCATCAGTCATCCGGAATACTCACACAGGTGTTTGGCTAATGGAGGAAACTGGAATCTGCATGTGGAGCATCACCATCAGCTGGAGGATTCCCTCAGAGGAATCTTGCTTTTTGGAAAGGAAAACCACTTTAAAAATTACCTTTTTCTCCTGTGGTAAGTGCCTTTGTAGACAAGCTGATACAGATCTCAGTACGTAAATCTATTTGCAACCACTTTAATTTATATAGTTCTCTTTAAATAAAGGAGGCAGCCAATGTTGTCTTAAAAGCGTTCCCAATTCAAATAGATCTTAATTTAGCATTTAGACTACAAAAATCCAGTGAAGTGTGAAGATGATATACCTATTTCTGGCTCTGTCAGCAACAGCGGCAGCAGAGAATACACATGGCATCAGCAGGTCGGGACGTCTGTTCATGCTGTTACTCTCCTCCAACATGACAATTTCACACTCATACTGTAACAGTATTTTCCTACTTTCTTATCTAGGAAGCATCCCATTTTGAGTTTACTAACTTACTTCATGCAGAAGGCCACGTAAGCTCTACTAGTGCTCATGGGTTTAAATTTAACCGAAGTCTCCTGAAGAAGGGCTAAACACCATTCTGCCCCGTATCTCTTTCCTTTATTATAATGCTCTTTAAAAGATGACACTGCAGTTCAAGTCTGGTACCACTCTACAGAACAATGAATAGTGTTCACTGAAATTGCCATTCCTGTGAACTTCACAAAAAACACATCGGGAAAATTAAAAGATACAGTACTCCATACTGACCAAGTTTCTGCTGGCATGAAAATGAAAGAGGGCTCTAAAACTAGAGGTCACTAAGCCAAAGCACTAATAATGGACACTGAAATGTTTCTTGATTTCTGTTTAAATCATTCAAGCCTTTTCTAACAAGGGTTGCTGAAATTTAACAAAGTAAGGTGAGAACTGAAACACCTCAGTAGACTGCTGTTCAAGAGGACCACTGTATCTTTAAATGTATCCTGGATAAAACAACCATGGTTTTACCTACACTTGTTAAATTATTGCACAGATCATTACACTGATAAATTCATTATAAACCTATGGAACTTTACACAGTCTGGCCTCAAAAATAAAAGCAGCGGCATTATCCTTGAGGTCTCAACTATGAGGGAGAACTGGCCAAGCACTCCTTGAAAGGTTGTAATTGTTAACAGGTTTCAAGACACAAATGAAACATTTTACAATAATCCTTAACTTCTAGGATTAGGTTCCCAGTTGAGGAACATTCTTTAAGACTTTGACTCTTTTGCAAGTGGCACTTAGTTTGAACGCCTTGAAGCTTTTCTTATTTTCAGACTACCTGCAGGAATCCAGCTGCTCTGTATTTTCCAAAGTTGAAGCCATACAAGGGAATAAATTGGTTTGAAACACTAGGAAATTTAAACCAAACATTGCAAGGTCCAATTGTTGCAGTAGTCATTTCACCTTCTGTGCTCTCTCCTAGCAATTTGCTTGTATGACGAAATCGTTAATACACAGTGTGGGACTGGAAGGAAAGTGGAGCCCTCTTCACCCACCCGACGGGTGACGCTACAGCCTCGCCAACCCACACGCTCACTCGGGTTCAAGGGCTGGTGCCCTCAGCTCCTGCAGGCTGCACTCAATGCCTCTGCTTACGGCGCTCACGATCAGGCCAAAAAAAAAGAGAGGATTTGGGGCGAGAAGGAGGTATTTAAAAAAAAAAAGTCTAATTCATAAACACTCACTCCACCCATGCATCTTGATCGCATGCATTCCACCAAACTGCAGAAACTTCACAGCCATCTACACTTAAAAAAAAAAAAAAAAAAAAGAGTAAAAACCAATAAAGCGGAGGCTTTGCAAAAGAAAATGCCCTCATTTCATCCTCTCCTCTGGAAGACATGGTAAAACGTTCACATTCAGACAAGTCAAAAAAATACCAATTTGCCTGGCAAACTGAGACCAGTTGGTATACTAGTTTTCTGGCTGCAGTTACACATTTTGCCATTCTGTTGGTTTTCAGTATCTTCCATTAACCCTTTCTGGGAGTTGTAGCATTGTGTTGACTTTCTACAGCTCTGCAAAAAGAGAGACTGCAACTGTTCCGTCACTGTCTCCTTAACTGGAAGAAAAATCATTACCCAAAGCTTCTGCCTGAGTAGTGCTCTGGCTGTTTAGTTTAATTTAGAACAAAGTTTCAAGAGATACAAAAATAAAACCAGAAGAACAAACAAATGGCTCATGCCAATTGTAGCTGCAAGTGATACATAAATAAACCAGTTTTCTCCTAGGCAAACCACACAGCTGAGGAGAACGTATGCATACACATCACAATACTGCTGATTGAATGGGCTGAAATAAAGCTTATCCTGCTACAAGCTATTTCAAGAGGTTTATGAAAGAGAAACTGTAATAAATTTGTACACAGGAAGCTGAATCAGCTTCACATCACTCCAGACAGACACCAGCAGTCAGACAGTTTAACCCATCAGGTGCATTTCGCCGTCACCGCTACTGCAACACTTCACAAAGACTAACTGTTAGTCAAGGACTGGGCAGTGCCACTTCACATACATTACACAGCACCGCCTCCAAAGTACATGCATTACAGTTTCATACCGGGCAGCAGACAAATGACAAGTAGGCAACAGAGGTGTATGCATAAAAATACGGAGTTACATCTGACATGCAATTAAGCTATGACAAAGGTATATTTGGAACGGGAGGAAAAACAGAACAAAATCCTTGTTTTATAGTCAGGCTGTAAACTTCTGCCGGTGGTACCACAAGCAGCATTTGTAAACCAAGATCTCTTGTGCCTTCGGCACTTCCAGAGGGTCAGCGTGTCAGCAAGAGCACCTCGGGTGCCTCGCATGGCTCAGCCGCGAGCGGCGCCGGGTCCTGCTGCAGGAGCCGCAGAGACCGCGCTGTCAGGAGAAGCGAGGGGGGAAAAAAAGAAAGAAATCCCAACTCTTGCAGGACAGGGCTAGAGAAGACTAGAAAAATATTTTGTTCACCATCTGAAAGATCCTACTAATAGAAATACAGAATCAGGCTAGAAATAGAGCAACTTCTACTTAGACCTAAGCCTTTAAAATCTGCTACTTTTGAGGTGATTCATGATTTTCCTTCCTTTATAACCTCCTGATATTACTATAAGCTTAAAAACCTCTGTGAAGTAAAAAAAGAAACGAAGCATTATTTACAACTTAGGTTAGTTGTTTTCTTGCACAAATTAACTATTTTTAAAAGGAAAAGGCTCTTTAGGTATGTATTGAGATTTACAGGGTCCACAGTAAAGAACTCCATGCTGGTAGTAAAGTAGGCTACGCAACAACATCATGATTTTAAGTTTAAGGGAGCTGATTGTTTTCAGGCTGAGTGTACACTGCAACTCACCCCCAAAAACAAAATGGGACACACAGGACACCTTTGTCATTAAAGTCACATTTCTTCTGTAGAAGTCATGGTTTGTGTCATGCAAAGCAATCTGTTGGGTCAGAACTGAGACGTAACTGAATCTTCTATTCCATTCCTTAATGCTGACAAGGAGTTTTTAAAGTTTTTGAAATAGTGCTGCTTTAACAAGATCCAGGAAGAAAATGTGGAGAAATACAGGATAGGCACAGAGATACAGTTTGACATATTAAAGATTAATTTGGAAAACATCTGTTTAATTTAAATTTTACTATTAAATGCAGACATCTACTCATCTTGAAAGAGGCTTGCTGCCAACCTCTCTCCTCAATGTTCTCATATTTTCCACCCATTTTTTCTTACTGGAATCTTTTTTATAGATTTGTTTCACTGCCAAGTTGCCAAACCGATCTCCAAAAGGCTGTAAGCAGCAGAAAGATTTAATTTTTATCAGAATAGATAAAAGAGATGGGTTGAAGGAAGAAAGACAGAGAAAAAACAGACTTTATAAAATACTCAAGCTGGGGGAAGGGCGTAGATAAGGCAGGAGAACATCACAGCTTTGCATTTTATCTGTGTAGAAGAGCCGCATGTGCAGCTTAACCCATTAAGCAAGGAAGGCAAGTAGAGCCATTCTGGATATCCCTTGATAACTCAGGTCAAAACTGTGAGTTTACACAAATTATCATCTAGTTCTAGATTCCTTGTTAATTCTAAGGGGAGAAAATAAGTTTTAAAAGACTAAAAGAGTCTCATAAAGTTTAAAAACAAAGCTCCAATAGAAAGTATCTTAAAGATCATTTTGAATTGCCACTTAATCCAGTCAGAGCAATCCATAAGGCATTTGAACTAGATCTATTCAACTAGAGCTTGCTTACTGAATGGCTATCTTTTCAAGACACACCCTGTCTTCGCATTAAACACCTCAGATCATCTCAAATTACATGAGGACTGGATGAATAGCTATTAACCTACACATGCAAGGATGTGCCATGAAAGTGTGCTTGCACTGATTCTTTTTCTTTTGATCATTTGTGTTAAGAAAGTCACTGTACACAGCTTCAATAGTGCAAGGAGAATATAATTATCACTATCCTTAAAAAAGGGACAGCCACCTTTATCTAATAAAAGATTCAGATGCTACTTTTTCTTTTTTTTTTTCCTAAATCAGGATAGAAGAAAGGAGAATGAATGGGAAGCACAAAAGTAACAGATCACTAAGGTCAACCAAGATATTCCAGCTGCATGTAAAACCTTCTCCCCCCCGTCAGCCAGCATAGCCTCCCCTTCCTAGATGTGCAAAACAGGGTTAACAGAGTTCTACCAGTTCTGGTTATCCCACCCATCATCAGCTGAAGACGCCTTTTTTGTTGCCTTAGGAGGTTTTTTGGTCTTGCTCTCCCCTCCTGTGTTTTCCCAGTTGGTCTCCCAGTTTTCCCAACTGTCGCTGTTACTGTTCTTGTTGTTGGAGACTGTTCCTGAGCCCCACACGTCCCAGCTATCGGAGCTCTTCTTCTCTGTGGAATTGTCCACATAGGTCCAGCTCTCACTGCTTGGAGATTTATGAGCTTTTGGTGGATCGGAGTTGCCAAAGGTCTCCCAGAAGCTTTGATCTACAGCATTGTTCTGGTAGCCCTCCCCTCCACTGTTCTGGTAGCTGTCTCCCTCAGCTGGTCTTTTATGGAGGAAGAGAAAAACCAGGAAAGTAGAAATAAATTAGTTATTATAAACATACCAATAAAAATAAACGACCACTAACAAAGAAAACTGTAACACTCCTGCCCTTTGCTTAAACAAAAACTGAGGATAAAGGTAAAGAACTAAATATACTGTTCGAAATAGCATAAGCCTGTATTCTCATTCACAGATTTACTAACAGCCTTAAGTACTAATAGGCCCAGGGTGAGGGAATATGCATTTGAAATAATTTTAAAACCAAGGTGCCATGCACTAGTCTGTTCTCAATTTAACAACTGTCATAAACAGATTGAATTCCTCCCATATTACATAGAGGAGGACTACTAGCAAAGTCAGAATAATCTCTTCATATTTCAAAATTACCTGCTACTACTATACTGCAGAGAACATACAGGAGATAAAATTATGTGTTTAAAGAGACACAGAAAATAGCAACAAAAAAGTACCTTTCAGAATTATCATCTGGTTTGCCAGAAAAAAAAGTGGTGACGTCTCGCCATCCCTTACTTCCCACTCCCTGAACCTAGAGGAAATAAAAGACACTCCATTCATTTGGACTGAACACCCCTTCCAAGTCCAACAGCAAAAGCCACTCCACATTCCTCCACTTCTTCAGATAAAGATAACACATTTCATCAGAAAAATCACTCACAACTTATTAATATTTTTGATGGGCAGTTACATGGTTGATGTAAAGAACATACATTTGACAGCATCGTGCTGCTGGAAGATGCGAGAAGTAGGTCAAATTTAGCTTTTTCACCCATCATTGTCAGTAACAGCTTTTGAATTCTCTCCTAGCCTTCCTTGACAAAAATGCTGAAATGACTTCTTACATAAAATTAAACTTAGTGACAGCACTGGTGTTTTGATGTTACAATTCATGTAACTAGCGTTTATCTTTCTACTGTTCTACAAAACTACTGCCACCTCGTTTCAGTAATATTATTTCACTGCCCATGTGAAACAGCCCAAAAGTTGAGTTCTAGAATGAACATGACTGCTAAGAGAATTGTTTGGGGATTATTATAATGGACTCGCATTGGATTAGAAACACAAATTCTTACATGACACCCATGGAAGTTACTATTCTTAAGTCAGACATACAGAGGACGAATCCCAGAATTCAGACTTAAAAGTTGCTAGGCTCTGAACAGAACAGGTAGCATCACTTTTTTTTTTTTTTCAAATGCTCCCCACATTTAAGGCATTAAGCTGGTACATCATTGGGCTTCCAGCGCTGACTTTCACAGTGCTAGAGAAAAAGACCCTCCAAGGCAACACGGTACAAGTTACCAAAATTGGTATTAGATTATGCAGGACTTCTGTACTTAGTTGTAGATAGCACTTACCACATTACCATGCAATGATAGCAAAGGAAGACAAAGAAAAAAGGTGCAGAACATTAGTAACTTTAACCGTACAAATGTAGTGCAAGCTGTCTCCATATTCTCTAGCAGACATTTTCTTTTCCTGTTTGGGACACTGGCTGTCTTGTAACTCTACATCACGCCCTCGGTGAAACTATTACGAGGACTACATCACACCTGTATAGTTTTTTAACACACCAACAGAAGTACTGCATACTGAAAATTACACTTCCACAACTTATGTATTCAACACCAGCAGAGACTAAAGCTGAATCGTGGTTTTGTTTCACTAGAAACTTTTTATAGGAATATGGAGACTGGCTTACTCTTTGGCCTCCTTAAAGGCAGGCAGGCCACTTCATACCTTGCTGGCCAACTGTGATACCCCCACGGTGACCTCCTCAAATATTTTCCCCTCTTTCACCTATGTGAATCAAAGTATTGATAATTAGTCACAAAAAGTATTATTGAAACCTTAAGACAGGCTTACTTGTGCTTAACAGCTAAAACCAAGAAGTGTAAAAAAAACAAACAAAGCAAATCAAAATATACTTAGGTCAAAAATAACAAAGTTAAGAAAAAGACATAAAGTCTATTGATCTATAATGGAGTGAATCTCAGTCCTTTGAATTTTGTGGAAATTTTCTACTGATACACAGTTTGAGGAAGGTATCATCACACTAATGTTGAGCATAAAAACACCAACACAAAAAAATCTGTAGATGTGACATTTTATAAATGTATTATGTAAAAAAATCTGGAGAAATTAAAAACCTAACAGATCCATTTTATTTTCTAACTTTTATACATGCTTATTAAACATTAAAAGGGCTTTGAACTTTGGTCAACCAGAATAAAATTTCATCAATTTACAAATGGCAGCTGTTCCAAAGCAAGTGACTTTATATAACCATGTATGGGTCAGGCAGTGATCCCTGAATTCAGAAAGTAACACTTATTCGGAACTAAGAGCACAACATTCTAAGGGAAACAGACTTTTTTTTTTTTTAATATAAAATGGAACATTCCTCCTTAAACTGTCCTACAAAATAAAAATCACTTCAAGGAAATGCACCCTGGAAATAATGCATCAGAGCACTCTGAAGTAAGTCGTGGATAATTCTAGGGAATAGGAAACCAATTAAGAGTCTTCTCCTGTGATTTGAAATGCTATGTAAAGAATGTTGAATTAATAAAGGTAATGCAAGAGAAATTATTTTGTAATGTGATTAAACCATTCTTTTCAATTGAAAATTAATCCATATCCCAAAGTAATGGCACCGCTTCTCTTACAAGAGCAAAATTAGTTTGCTTTATCAAAACCAGCGTCTCTTGGGAAAAGGTACACAGGTAAGTAGAGCATCACATTCTCAGAAAAGACTTCAAAATTTTGGAGCTGATCCAAAATTCTAGAAGCACGAACGCATGCCAAATGGGAAAGATGTAAGAGTATGGGGTTTTTTAAACATATGAAACAGGAAGGCAACTTTTGACACTAGGGAGAATCTGTGGCTAGAATTTGCAGTATCAGTGATCGCTCGTCACTTACAAGGACTGCTTTGCATTTTTTTTTTTTTTTTTTAAACACACCTCCTAGCCACTACCTGCATTTTCTCAGGTCAGCATGTATGCCCTCTTCCAACTCCTGTTGTAAGTGCCATTAGCCACATGGGTTTAGCGACTAAGTTGTAAAGAGAAGATGAAAATCTACTTCAAACTAGTTTCCTAGAAACAACACAGTAACTAGAACTGCTAATTGGAATGTTACCTTAGACCACACTGTATATGAATGAACACAAAACTTGGTATTAACTACCAGAAAGTTCTGAACCAATACCAAATAAAGGTTGCAAGAACATGTTACTTCAACTGATAAATTGTTCCCATTCACTTTAAACATACACTCTGACCCAAATTCTACTGCCCCAGTGGGGCAGCAGATGAACTGCAGTGGCTCAAAGATGCTTAGCTGAATTAAAACAATGCTGGTGGGCAGATGGGTAAAACACTATGAATTTAACACTCAAAAACGACTACTCCTATTTTTTTTTTTTTAATAAGTCATTTTTGTAATAATTTAGAGTGCATTTTCATCTTGTCCCATCTTCCATTATTGAAGGCATTAAATTTATAAAATAGTATCTAACGGGGAAAAATGTAACAGACTCTTGTGGACATGGAAAGATTGGTGGAGGGAAACTACCCCCATTTAACCTTTGGTAACACTACTAACTTCAAATTATTTGATGTTTCCCCTTTGCTACTGTGCTAGCATATGAAAAAACACAAGGACACGCTGACAAACTGGTCAGTCGTGGCAGGAGAAAACCATCACTCCCTAAGTCAGCATAACCATGTTCTGCAAGTAATTTACTAGTTCCAAAGTTACCTTTTCCTGTGCAGGTTTGAGAACATTTTCATTTAATGTCTGACCTAACTCTGATGCCTATTTAAAAGCAAAACAAAAACAAAGTCAGTTATATTTTCCTTTAGAGAAAAAAAAGATAAAAAACACAGCCAACATCTTCTGCGGGCTAATTTCTCAACAGTATCTCCAAAAACACATGAAGGCTTAAAGCTTTGATTCATACAAGCAGAATGAGCTGAAAAGCACACACAGTACAGTGCTGCAGAAAACATTAAAAGAAAATAAATTCAAACCAGATGCACATGGCAACAGGTCATTGGAGATGCCCGGAGCCCAAGCAAAGTGTGAGCTTGCACTGGAAGCAGAAGCAATGGTTCAACCAGCAACAGCCTAGAAGATGGGCCCCTTGTTAATGCCTGCAGCTGAGTATTTGGAAGAACTGACCCCATCCCCCTTTATTTTTCCTTACTAATGGAATTACTTGTAGAATTATATCTTTCTGGCCAATTTTTCACCAACTCTTCTGTCTTGGAATGCTGCTGTTGTCATCTATTAATAACCACCCAATTGTTTCTAAGCAATACACAAGAGGCAAAGCTGTGACAGAAGATTTTCATAATCTTTTTTACAGCTACAGGTTTGCAGGGAGAGAAAACATTTGCAATCCAGAACAAGATGCGTAAGGATATTGCACTTCAGAGGCATCTTATAAAAATGTAAGTCCACAGTATAACTCAAAATTACTTTTATAAGGCAATATTGACTTGAACAGAAGGGTTTGCAAATGTTTCATTTGAAATCATTCTTTGCCCTACTACTATAATAAGCCTTTAATGTAAACTTTTCTTCATAATTGCTATATTATATTGATTACCTCCTGAATTAGCCCAACTAATCCAAAAGGGCCGATTTGCTTAAGAGACAAACATTATTGCGAAACATTAGCAGAGCCTAATGAAATTTCATTTCCTAAGGGTTTGTATCTTATCACCGTCACTGATTAGGGTGTGAGCCTTCATTCATAATCTTCCTGGGGACAGAAAACCTTGAGCATCTTTCCTCCACAGATTCCCAGGTGTCTAAAAAGCTTTCCCTATGCCACCTAATCACCATTATCTCCAATACTTCCACTCCTGACCAGCTCAAAAGTTCTTTGAGAAGACAAAGGCAAGAGGTAACCCCATTTCCACTTAGTAAGAAACATGAATGCAAATCACATAAAGCTTTTTTCCATTGGAAGTGAGGCTACAAAGTGTTTAAGAAAAAGGGGATTTTTCATCTTTGAAAAAATCCTTCAGTCTATTAAACCTGTCAAACTCTATAAAAGAGTGTAATAACACCCAGACTAACAGTTCAGGTATGCTAAGTGAAGTTATTGCTAGAATTAGAAAGAATTCTTATATTATCCCATTTAATCAGCCCCATAATTTTGTAAATATGGAAAGATTTGGGTACAATTGTGTTTCCACCTGAACTGATTCTTCACCTTTACTATTTCTGAATTTAGGATAGCATCTTAACCACCATTGCAAACACTACATAATGGGGCATTTATTAAAGAGTGTGCCTTCAAACAACACCTCAGGGTAGTTCTCGGAAAACTGCATTCCTGGATCAGACATGCAAACAGATATCCTGAAGTTATCTGTGTTTATGAAGAGCATGGACAAAAGTACAGCATGTTTTCTGCGAGTGTAGAGCTTGGATCATCTATCCAATTTAACTTATTTTAAATAGGTTTGAAGAAACATTACCATATGAAACACACAACATTATTCTAAACAGATTTGACTCAAGGCAAAAAAAAAAAAGACAGCTCAAGAGCAAATGCACATATTCAGCACGAACAGTGACAGGGAGTCCATGCACAAGAATATATGTGAGGGCGTTACCGGCTCTGGCTGCTGCTTGTAGCCCCAAAACTTTACCCAGACAGCAAAAGAGAAAGAGCAAGGAAGGTAGAAGCAGCTTTTAGCAAAAAATTGGCAGCATTTTTTCAGGCAAGTTAAATAGCATGAACCTTTCCCAATTTTAACACCTACTGACAAGACAAACAGTGAATATGTTTCGGCACTGGACACCAAATACACTTTTAAACAATATATTACATCAAAAAGATGTTAAATCTGTTCTACAGAGCAGAAGATCAGATGTTTCAGGAACAAAATATAAGCCTTCAGTAACACAGCTTATACTCTACAGCACCGTGTTGTTGTGGTCCTTGTCAGTAGATGTGATGTACTTTTACACATAATATTGTATTTACATTTGCTGATAATACTAAAGAAAGAACAGCTTTCTAAAAGGGAAACTGCTGGAAGGAGGGAAGGAGGAAGGCTTGTAGAATACTTAGTTTGTCTTACATAAGCCAAGCAGCAAATACTTTAAAGCCTTTAAGTATCAAGTTTGGGTGCTTTAACAAGACATTTTTGTGGCAAAACATGCACAAGTTTGGCTTGGAGCATTAATATCCTACTGCACACATCTGTCTGAACACCAACACCTGCAGTTTCGCATTTGTTTTGAGCAGTAGCATCCTATGTGTATCAGAAAGCACACCAGGCTGACGCTATACATACAAGAAGAGTTACAGTTCAAAGTCAAACTCCCTATACCATATATATTAATATATGTAAACCCTCTCTCACTCAGAACTTTGGCACATTAAGTATCCTATTCTTTTACATATTTTTACATTTGAATTTAAAACTTCTCCATGCAAACGGATCTTGCTTATGTCAGAGCTCCGTAATTCAGGTCTGACTGTCTCTGTCTGAACCCTAGTTTGAAAGAGGAAATGTTTTTGAAATTGGTTCTTTTATAAATACACACAAGTTAATTTAATAGCAACAATAAGCAGTTCACATTTGTAATATCTTATTAGGTTTTAACAGTGGAAAGATGGCTTGCATTATATTAGATCACCAAGACAACTACTGCAAGATAGAATACATTTAAGGTTCACAAAAATAATATAAGGGTATTTTAAGGTTGCAAGCATGCGTGGAAGAAAGCATTTCATTCTACTACCTCCCCAATAAACCCGACAGTTATACACAGCAGAGTATCACTGTTTATTTCTTGGTTAATTTGATCACAGCAGCTGATTGCAATTCCCATGGAAATAAAAACCCAAACCTAAAAATTACTATGCACTATGAAGAAAAAACACACTGGTCTGTTGATGATCAAGTCTAAATCAATTGGTGCAAGCAAATACATGATATTTCAAGTCAATTACAGTCAATAAGACAGAGCTAAATCTATAATCACCTTTTGACTTGCTTGAGATCCAAATCTAGTAGCCTACAAAAAGAAGCAAAAGACATTCAAGTTTATTAGGAATAATAAAGACATTTAGAAATGCTGCATGATCCTCTCAAGATGAATGGACCTTTGCCAGAATTTCACAGTATACATAGAATGTCCGTATCACCACCTCTGGCATTCCAGACTGCTGAGGAAGCATTAGTCTTTCTCAACTTACAACAGGGGGAAGAAGGCATCTTTAATATAGACTAGACTGGTGGGCCAATGCAAATGAGTATCAGTATTTTTCTCTCTCAATATCACCCAAGGTAAGAGATAAGTTTTAACTGTTACGCTCATGAACTGTTTAGAGATAGCCATTATACTCCTAAAAGTTTGGAAGAATACTAAGCAAAACTGAAAAAAGTTGTACTGCATTATTTTCACAAAAATATTTAATCTCTTTCCACCATCATCTATATAAAATGTAATAAATTTTTTATTTCCTCTGGTTTTAGTCTACAGTTAGTTGAATGATTGTCACCTAAGTGCGTGAACTTGCAGAGCATGCAGAGCCTGACAACCACACCTCAGTTTTTCCCAAAGCATCCCTCTGGGCACAACCTCCCTCTAACAGGCTTTTCTATTTAAACTGACAAAAATGCTGTAGTTAGAGAAAAGTCAAAGGAAGGAAAAAAAACCAAAACCATCAGCAGTTTGTAACTTGGTATTAAATTCCTGCTGAAGAATGCAATTTGGCCTTACTTGGCATAGATTGAAGTTCCTGCTTTATAATAAAATTTTTCAGTGAGTTCTTTCTTGATGATTCCATCCAGCAGACAAATTGACAAAAAAGTCCATTCAAAACCATGAGAAATAGTTAAGGCAGAGATCTCCATTCAATATGTATCTATTTTACATGCCATAGGCAAAGATACACAAAAGGCAGAATTTAGGTTGTCTTGGACATCACTATTAGAGCACTAACAGGATCTGAGTTTACTAGAATTACACCAAAATGCATTTTGTTTACTTACACCCTCCTTAGCAGCTGAGGCAATTTTGCTTGCTCCAGTTGTAAAACTGCTCCATCCCTTTAAAGAAAGTGAGAATGTCATAAGCTATGTGTGAATAATAGTGACTAACCAAATGTTCAGTATTACATGTTAAATTAAGTCAAAATGTTCACCAATACAGTTTATCCTGTAATCAGAAGAACTACTCAGTTGTAAAAGTGAAAACGAGTCTCTCACATAACTGTAATATAGGGATGAACTTCCACTGTTTGTGTCAAAAGAGCTGCAATCTGAGCAAACTTGAGTGTTTCAGATGTTATTCTACTAAAAATAGCTACATGAAAAAAAAATTCCTCCCTCTGCCCTGAGAAAAATCTAAAGAAAAAAAAAGACACTAAAGCCTTAGTAAACAGAGACTGGATGGATGGAAAAAATAAATAAAAAATAGATCAACAAGCAGCTAAAACATATGCTTGGAAAAAGCTGAGGAGAAAACAAGAATTGGTGTTTAAAAGCACGAGGCAGCAATTCATAAAATGCCCATTCAGCAATTTTCCATTTCATAATAAAGCTTCAATCTGCTTGTTTCCTGCAAATTTTATCTTTAAAAACAAAAGAAACAAAGCTTTATTTTGCCTTATTGGTTCTTGGAAGATCTGAAAGCCATTGGCCATTTCTTAAGACTTTTCTGTAATGAATCATAAAAGGTTTCTTCTAACTAGTGATTGTCAGATACTGATTAAGCAACCAGCTAGAAAAAAACGGAGCAGGAGTGATTCTAATGCTTTTTTTTAAAAAATACATTAAAAATCACTACACAACTGTTTGGATTTCAGTTCTTGTTATTAACTCATTCATCCAGAATCTGCCCAGTAAAACAAGTGGAAAAACCCACCATACTTGAACGGATAAAAATCAGAAACAAACTTTAACATGTCTGTGGTTCTCCTTGTCTCTAACAATGGAAGAAGAAACAGATATAATTTTTTGTTGTTTGCAGACCATCCCCATCTAATTCTAAGCTGTGCTACAGAATCTTTTAAAAACAACACTACAAATACCTGGTTAATATCCATGTTTACCACTGCTTTCAGTCAGTTTGATTGCGATCAATGTGTAGATGTTTAAAGTGGGGGATGTTTTGGTAACATGTTACCATTTGGGTAGATTTCCATACAAAAGCCATAAATAGTAGAATATCTTCCTCATTAGCCCTTCCATTTAATTTGACTACCCCACATATTTAGATTAAACGAACATCTTTTAAAAAAAGCAGCAAAAATATTTGTTGCCTATCCTTTTAAAGTCTCTTCGTTTATTGCCCTTGTCCTACGCTGAAACACTGCAAGATAATTACATCACCAGTTGCAAAAAAGGCAAAGTGATGAGTCTCGTAGCTTTTATATTAACCACAGTCTCAAGGGACTGAAGACAAACCCAAACTTCAATTACATCTGTTCTTGACAGAATGGGTTGGATAGTGTAGTCAGTGTGAATTCTACACAAAATGCTCTTTCTGATATGTAACAGCAGAAAATAATGCATGTACATAAATGTAGCACGTGTGGGGAAAAACAATCATAACACAGTGGAAAGAAAACTGGTTTCCTACCCAGGATGAATATGCATGCAAATATTCAATCTCACCATAATAAATTACTTGAAATTGCACTGTAGTATGTATCTGTGGTCACAAGAGGGCATTTTAATCAAATTTCAATGAGATCATGTATTCAAATAATGGTTGACAGTAACTTGGACAAGACAGTGTCATCTCTCCTTTGCTGTTTTGGCATATCTGCAATACCTTATAGACAAGGTTTCTAATCTGAACTCTCTGGCCTATTATCTATGACACACCTAGAAAATATTCAGCAGGCCTCTACTAAGCACCCTATAGGATCACCTGGAATACTGCTCAAAGGCTCAGGCATTACCTTTTTCTATTTTGTTCCAGTGAAATTATTACATTTAAAAAACAAAACACAATGGAACCTGGTGTGGATATTTAGACCAGTGAGGCTCTACAGAAGACTACTGGCCACTAACCCTGGTGGAAGAACCTTACTCTATTTCAGAGTCACTCTAAATCCCAAATACTGTTTAGCACTGTTACTTTGCAGCCTATCAAAGCACCAATATGTCCCTGACTGCCTCCAACTTTATTCCCATTTTCCTTCAACAACGCATCTTTCACTATCTCTACTTTAATCATGACAACTGTTCAACCATATGCTGTTATCTCTTCACACCCTGTCACAAGTATTTCAAATGTTTTCATCACTGCTCAGGGCTTCTGGCACCCATGTACACACACATTTCAGTTGTTTTCCACTGAACATACCTAATATGGTTAATCTATTTAGAGCATTACATCTCAACAGGTAATTACTTTTTTTCCCTCCAAGCCCTGTTGAGTACTAGTTCTTAATCCATCGCTATATCCTCATTTCCTTATTTCTATGAACTGACACAAGACAAAATTCCTAAGTTTTGCTCAAGTTTCTCCCTTCGTTTTGCCTTTTCAAGTCCACCAGTATCTTCACTCTTTGAGAATACAACCAATACTCTACATTTCTCTGTATCTATCTGTAGTCTTCAGTTGCTCTTCTCCATTTAGATTCTCCTATAACAGGGGATAAAATACAATAAAATAGTAATTCAGGTCACAGAAGGCTTCAAGCAATTACTTACCGAGTACAATGAAGACATAGCATTATTCAGGAAGTCATCCTCTTTTTTTGGAGGGTTTACTGTGTTTCCAAACCCTACATAGCGATTCTCTTGGCCACTACTGTAAGAAAATAAGCGGTATCTGTATTAGCATGGATTCATTAAAACTATTAAACAAAAACTGAAAAGCATGGAAAAATCATCATTGTTTAAGAGACTTTAGAATACACTTGGAAAAAGAGTCCCAAAGCGCTTAGCACCCAAAATACAAAACCACTCGCTTCAAAGACATAACACCAGCAAGGATCCACGGGGGAATCCTTGCAAATTAAAGAGTCCCCTATGCAAGCTAATGTGGTCTTAATGATTCTCTAGGTTTAACAGATCACAGCTACCAGAAGTCTGATTAAATCCTAATAAAGTGATACATGAAAATAGGAAAAGGAAAGAAAGAAGAAAACAGTGTTAGCTTTATAAATATGTCTGTTTAACTCAAACCGCTAGAAGATACTACATACACTTAAAATTCCCTAGTTTGGAACCCACCACAGCAACATTTTATGCTGCAAGCTCTTTCTTCAATGTCATTCAAACATTTTTGTTACACAAATGCATTAAGAGGCACTTTCCTTCATCTCATCCTTTACCATATATTATCAACCTACTTTTGATAGTAAACAAGATTTAACTGTTAATTGGTGAATCAGGATCACAGTTGTGTGGAGACAGTATAACATCCATGTCTTTGTTATGCTATAAGGCTAGGTACTCAAAAAGTTAATAAATACTGCATTACCCTTGGTAGGAGCCGACATCATCATTTAACCAGTCTTCAAAAGCCTTGTCAGAAGAGGCAGTTGCAGTCTGAGATTGTCCAGCAGAACTAGTGAAATGAAAGATTTAAGAATCAAACTGCATAAAGCAAAACCCACTAGCTCAGCAGTACAGCTTGACATATATCACCATAATACAGGTGCAAAATTGATTATTTCTTTCATCTATCACATAGGGAACTCTAATGCAACCACTAAAAGCCACTGGAGTATTGAATGAAAAAGCAACAGTAGACCCAGGCCCAGACAATGCTACTCAGACTACAGCTAGCCCCCGAGCTCGCTGGATGATGGCCAGGCATGAAGTGCTTGTTCGTTTGATTTACAACTGCTTTTTCAGTTAACTGGATTCTTTAGTGCAAAGAATAACAAACACTACAGGCAAAAGCAGAAAAACAAAACTGCTGTGGTCCAGCTCTGACGCTCCCGTTAGTAATTAGCACCAAAAGGAAAAAGTCTGTTTCTTCTTCCCTGACATTTAAGCACAAACAGGAACCGCACCACAGTAAAGGCAAGGCTGTGACACACTAGGCATGATTGACACAACTGCTCTCAGGGGCATTACAAGTCAAGATAAAACCAGCACAGCTTGTCCTCTGCTCTTGCTCACTTGTCTCTGCTGTGATTTAAGGTTCAGGTGGAGGAGATGGGAATTATTGCAGAAATTAAAGCCCTGCTACCTCATATTCCTTAACTTCAGCAAAAGAAATGCTTGTTCAGATGATGCCACCAGCAGACATTCAAACATCAGGTTTTGATCCTGCTGTAGCTATATCAACGTTAGGTAACAAGAATACGTACCGATGAGTGGAAGAGAGAGACATTTTAGGCTGAGGTGGGGTCCAGTTCCTGGCAGGAGACGTTTCAATGGACCACTCCTTGCCTTCAGCTACTGTAGCCACCTAGGACAGGTAGGAAAATAATCAAGAATGCTAGGTCAAAGTTTTCATACAAGTTACACACTGGCCCACCAAAGTAAAGACAAGTCATTTTTCCAATTTGATGCCAGCTGCATAGATCAATTCATGTGTTTTCACAAGAAAGTTTTTTTTTTTCCTGAATCTCAGGCTAGTAATGTTGAACTGAACATGGATTTTATTTCAGGCAACAGATTTTAGGCAACTTCCTAAATCAGGCAAATTTGGGTTGAAGACAAAAGACTAGATTAATAGAGAGACATAAGCACTAATCACAGAATAACGGAGGAATAGAAAGACGTGGATTTACACTCTGGCACAGGGCAGCTAAAACACATACACAGAATTTACATGTTCTTTCTGCTTCCTTCAAAGGACCTAAACTTCATCTCTTCACCCCATACCACTCCTCCAGTCCAAATCATAACTTCAGCAAGTTAATACAAAATTTCCAAAGGCCTTGCCACAGAAACTCTACAGTTGGCCATTTCACATACAAAAAGGCCTACAGCACAGAACTTATGACTTGTTTGCTTTCATCAAGATACGCCAATTTAGCTAGCTGGCTTTTATTCCTAGCAACTTCTAAAGCTGCAAAGAGACAACACACAGAACAAACTTCAAAGCTGCATGGATATCCTGGTACATGCTGTGCTCACTTTCTTACCACTTCCACTGCAGGGTCAGCATAAAAATACAGCATCTTTGTAAGTCTCTAAGCTTGTAAGCCCAAATTGCTCGTCATTTCATTTTTGGAAATTCTAATCCTCCACAAAACAATAAAGCCATTACAACTACTAATTTATTTCTTTAGAGGCCTAAAGAAATGTGCTTGGCAAAATAATTCACCATTTTGCAACTACATACACAAAAGATTTCGCAGCCAATCACTTCAGATAAAACTCCACTGCTGAGGTAGTAAACCATCTACTGTGGATTAGGACAGCTCCACCAACTAGTTTCAACAAATGCCAGCAATAAACATCTGAGCCACCTCAGCTAAACGCAGGAAAGCAAATTTCTAAAGAAAATTCTAACAAGAGTAGGGAAGAAGCACTCTACGACTTATCCCTTTCAAGAACTACAGCAGAGGTTCAAGAGGTTGCTACTTTCCCTCCCTCTGCTTCATAAGCAAGTGCTTACAAAGTACTTTGATATTTTCAGATAGTAGGGGATGAGGACACACACACAATTGAACTTACCTGATCTCTAAATAGAGCTGCAGCTTTGCTGTTGTACTTCTCCTGCATTGACCAGCAGGGATCATAGTCATCTTGAGACTCCAAGAACTCTTGAAATTTGCTATTACCTCCAGCCTTCATTTTCTCCAGCTCAATATCCTTCCATTTGTCCATAGTTACAGAACGTACAAAACTGAAAAGCAGTTTTTAAAAAAAAAATTAGAATCACATCTTGTTATAATTTCCTGCTCTATCAGCAGGGACAAAACCAAAAAGCTTATTACAATCTATCTCAGCAGCTGGGAGTATTAACATGCTAGAGAACACTCTCCAAGCATAGAAAGATAGATTGTCATAAGAAGGTGGTCAGATATAAGCTAAAATCATGCCATTTATTTGCACTTAAAGGAGACAGTCAACAAAAGGCAAGTGGCAGAAAAAGCAGCTTTCTTCAAGTCCAGAAATTAATCTAACCCACTAAAAGAAACTTTTCCCATACTTATCCACTCTGCAGTTTTATTTCTCTGTCTTATTTTCACAATTATATTTAAGTGACCTGCGAGGACACCTCCTGTCCCACTCCACGCTTCTGCTCATAATGGCCATCACATACTGACAGCTCAACTGTTTGAAACAGCCTACCCTATACCCTGACCTCATCCCAGGGATTTGTGACTGCAGTTAGCATCTCAACTCAGCTTTGAGCCACCAATTTTTGCTACTGCTCATTAAATTGTATTTTTAAAAAGCACCAAAAAACCCCAACAGTGCCTTGTTGTTAAATACAAGGTCAAAGGGGGGAAAAAATGTGAGACATCATTCTCAAGAAGGCTCTTTAAAACTTGTATCTTGACTGATTTCTTTTTGTCCCTAAAGAAATAATCTTCACCATATCCTCATCTCAGTAATTTCATTTTTCCTTTCATGTAACATATGGAATAATTCCAAAACTCTCATTTCCTATTCAATTTCTATTCAGTAACGAGCTTCAAATCACTCTTTGAAAAGCAAAGCACGTACTTCTGAATTGCTTTGGTGATTTCTCTCCTTGACTTTCTCTCCCTTTCTCATTTGAGGAACTATCCCATACTTTGCCCTTATTATATATACATACACTGTGAGTCTCCAGAACACATAACAGTTCTTATTCCATAGATTCCCATCTCAGTTGAGCATGTTTCTTGGAAAAAAACAAAAGTTATTGTTTATATTACCAAAAAAAAAAATCTCCAGAACAGAATAAAACTGTTTTATACGCTTGCATACAGTACAGAAACATTCTGTAAGTGTACTGTGACTTTTTTTGCTCAACTCTCAAGCTACTCTAACACCACTTCAGTTTTAATTGATAAAGATTATACAAGAGTAAAAGAATAGAACACAAGGACCAGTGCAGTATTACCAAACACCACCACACAACCTCAAGACGTAGCTAGAGACATTGCTTTTTAGAACAGGGGATTAACATAGCTGCACCGGTGCAGCACACACTCCAACTAACTATAGCATGAAGCAAAACTGCCAGTAAAATGTTGGGATTGAGACATTCTATACCCTTCCAAAACAACATATTCTGTTCACAGCTCTAATGCACCCCGAGGTAACCCAACTCGGTCCATCGTCTGCTTGAAAGGCTGACCTGAGGTGAACTCCCAAGCCCCGGTGTTTTCCTGAGCACTCAAGACAGATCCAGATTCCATAGGTCACACTCACCCACTGGGGGTTAAATGCACCACATTCGAAACAGACCTGCAAGAGAAAAACAATTAACACTTTGCCATCACTTGTTCACGGGAAGTTTTCACAGTACAGCTCAAAAAAAAAAATCAAATAATGAAAACATTACATGCAGAAAATAATTTCAGAAAGGAGAGTTCTTAGTGTTTGGAAACACCCTGCCTGACAGCATAAGCTTCCTTCAAATATTTATTTATGCTGCATAGAAAGAAATACCCATTAACTCGCCTGACTTGGATTATAAAAATTACTGTACCTACTACCAAACACGAATGTGAAAATACAGATGAGCAAACTGAAATTAATGAGCAAATAATTCAACTTGATTTTATTTCCGTACTGTTTTGAAGGAAGTGAAAGTAACCAAAATGAATTCTTCAGGCTTCCTTGGCAAAATAAAGATGCAACATTTAAAGTCTGGAACATTTATTCAGTCATACTACAGTTCGGCAGTAAATGACAACAGATCTAAACAGATGTTTTTCTTAAATACCTTTATTGCTCATGCAGCACAACTTAAGTTCTTAGGATTGGAGTCACCATTCAAGGTTTAATGCACTGATATAATAAAACCAAACCTAGCCATGGGCTATCACATTTAAGGTAGTGTATAATCAAGCTACTTGAAATACACCATTTTAATTAAGCTGTGCCCAAGACATCACTTGAACAACAGACTCCAGGGGTTACAGCATTAGTAGAACTTCTGAAAGACCTGTGCCAAATATGCAGCAGTGTATTGTAATACATATATGAGTAAAAGTTACTGGAACTAACACAAATATGAGATATCCAAATTTACACTTTACCATTAGTTAGCCATACTAGTGCTATAAGAGCAATAGCTGTAATAGACAACATACATCTGGAGTAGGTAAAAAGAAAACTGAGTTCTGCGAAACTAAAGATGATTATCATTTTCTCACATTGTTCTCATCTTGTGCTCTGACTTCCTTGAGAACTTTCCTTGTTCTTGGACTTGCCATTGTTCTACAAAAGTAGAAAAAGAAAGCGCAAAAACTAAGTCACATTCACAGATATGATGTTGGTAAGATGTTCAGTACCTTACAAGCATCCCTCTATGAAAAAGCTTGCAATATAAACTGCTGAATCACAACTAATTGCAGGGGACAAACAAACAAAACCACACCATAAAGCGCACAACCTCACTTTTCCATTCAGTTTGTGCATTTTGGGGGATTTAGTCATCTTAATTGATTCATTGGAAAAGTGTAATGCAGCCATAGTTGAAGAGGGGGCAGGGGCTAAAAGAGTTCTTTAGTAGGAGATACAAAAAAAAAAAATCATGATTTTCCGTAAGTATTGAGTTTGCTTATCAATTGAATTCTAAGAAAATAAGACAATTATTGGGACCTTTCACACAAAATAGAATTCTAATTCCAACAGTCATGTCTCACTGGCAGACCACATCATTTTACACTAACTTTTACAAAGCATGAAATGCAGCAGCAGGGAGCAGTGTCAAGCTACAGATAAAATCCACATTAAGAAAAAAGTGACTCACACACAGCACACAACCTGAAGAAACTAAAAGCACACAAACCACTCAAGATGAAAAGAAATAGTGTAGGGTACAGCATAAGACTGAAATGTAGATAAAAAATTAATTAACATTTCCAACTAATTTGGTACTACGATATATAAATTAACTTTAAATAAATAACATCTTCCTTTTCACTTCTAGTCCAACCTTTCATTTCTACCCTAGAAAAACTTCTAAGACATAATAAAAGACAGAGAATTCACCAGGCTGAGTAGAAACTGCACCAACTACTAAATGTCAGGCTTATTTGTCAGTCAAGGTATGAAGTAAAAAATAGCAGGTCAATGTTTTCATCAACTACTGGTCTGAGAGGCAGAAACACATCTGTGCAAGTCTTTGACACTTGTTCACTGTGCTATTTGACTAAACAGTTGCAAGTCCTTAAATTATCAATAGAATTAACAATCTTGCAATAATTTTAGAAGGTAAACTATTAAACATTATACACAATTGCCACAACCCAGTAGGGTATGGAAGGAGAACATCTTTAATTAGAAAATGAAGGTTATTTTAAAAAGAAAAATGCTACATGTAAGGAAAAACTAAATTTGCGCGAATTTCTTAGAAATCTCTAAAGCAGAAGAGCCTTCCTGTGAACTGCAACCACAGCAGTGCAATACATACAATTATACACACCACCAGCTAAAACAACATGATTCAGAAAGCAATAAGCTCAACACTGTACCTGTGTATTATCACTGTTAAAACCAGAAGTTATTTGTGGCAGAACTTGCTGCCTTTTATCTAAAGCACTTATTCATAAACATCTTGTTAACAAATACTTAATTCTGTGTAATTTAAGGGACAGTGTTTTCACTGACATTTAGAATATGCTACCTTTCAATCTTAATTTGTATTAGACAAAACCAGGTAATTTTTGAAAAGAATGTGTTTTATACAGAAAAAGTTAGTGTAATTTAACGGTGAGTAAAAGTCTTCGTCATCCTGAATCAAATTAAAATTGAACAGAATTCTTTGTATCAATAATCAAATGGAAAACGTGTTACTTTCAGAAAAGGGAAGCAAAAGTGTGGCAAGCGACCCCTTCTAGAATGAAACACACTTTCTCCAATAGCATCCAAGTAACAATATTTAATTTTACATAACTTACTCATATGTAAGTGAGGAGGAAAACAGCAGTACACATAAAACATGTTTGCTCATATGCTAAACAAAGACCATAAACACATTTACGTGAATTGAAGTCCACGTCTTCAATTCCATTGTTTGTCACTGACAAGATAAGGGAGAACTCTCCCTCTGCTGTACAAAAATTAAGTAAGGAACTTAGCAGTAACTGCCAGACAGACAATTGGGCCCTCTGCCATTTTTATTATGTTCTTTTTGCATGCCAACTCCCCTTCCACAGGGCTGTATTTCCCCAGCAACTTCTTGTACATTACTGACAAGTTACAAGGTCCCTCTCTGTCTGGCTGCTCATTCCCTTTACTGCTATCCTTCCTTTACCACATTTTCCTCCTTTTTCCCATGTTTTCCTTCAGGTTTTCCTTCAGAACAGAGGCAGACTAGAGGCTGCAAAGGCTTTCCAGCCTCAATGGCAAATGATCATTGCTGAAACTGAAGAGGAAAACCTTTTCCCACTTCAAATCTGCATAAGCCAGAAATTTTCTATAGAGCAGAGAGAGAGATCCACCCTACAACAGCCAACATCCACATACTACAACAGCCAATATCCACACCATTTCAGTGTTTTATATACAGTAAAAGTTTCAGGTTTCCGACCCCAAACTGACAGAGGAAGCAACTGCCTTTGGGTCTGTGTAACTGCATTTTTTGATAAAAAACTTTAAAAGAGTTTGGCCAACTGCAGGCTGAACATATGCCTATTCCAGAAGCACCAAGTTCCTTGACCAGACCACCACGTCTATCTGGTACAAAAGCAGAGCTTCATCCGAGAGAAGGAGGTAGAAACAAAGGCCACTAGCTTCTCACCTTTCTCTCCTCTACCAAAGCATTTGGAAACGAGGGAAAGGGGGACAAGGAAAAAAAAGTCATGCCCTAAGCTTTCTAATGGGTAACATCTTTAGAAGCGCCTAGTCTATTTTCAATTATATTTGTCCACAAAATGTAAAGTGATCAAATTATCATTGTTTACCACCCAAAAGCTAAGCTGGGCACATAGCCATTGTGCTATTTAAATTTCAGGAATAACTACTGAAGTAAAAACTGTGGAGACACCTTAAATAAATATATACACAGTTTTTATCTGATGTAAACAGACATGAGCAGTAAAGAAAGCTTTAGTTTAGGAATAAGGTTATGTGGAAGAACAGAAGTGTTTTGGACCAAGGGTTCTAAGGTGGAAATAGACAGCTTCACACAGACCAATCTCACACTCTTATTTCCCAAACAAATTGTTTCCAGAGCAAAAAACTGACATGCACCATATGAGTTTCCATGTTAGGAATCTTTAGCCTGCTAAAAGCAAGCAAAAAGGCAGAAGTGGCACTAGACACTTTTAAGTGGAAATGAGCTGTAACAGGACTTTGCTCCTCTGATACAGCAGCAGACTCACACGGCTGAGCTGTAAAGAGCTTTACAATTCAGTGAAGCAGGTGACGTGGTCTGCACAACTTCATGGTTCTGGAGACGCCCTGTGGGTCTGGCCAGGGCAAAAAGGCCACGGAGGCCTCACCAGCTGCAGAAACGCTCCGAACCAAAATGCTGCCACCCACCTCCACGGAGCAGGCAAGGCTCACTTCCAAATAGCTATCAGAAACTGTTGCATACTAAGTCCTGCAGCTCTGCCTGCTCAGAAGCGCTGCCGCCTTACCGAGAGCTTCCCAGGGGATGCGAGGAGGGCAATTCCTTCACGCAGAGACTTGAATCCGAGCTGAGTCCTAAAGGCCTGCCTCAGAACATGGCCGGGTTCCCGGCGAGCACACCGGCCTCTCCTTTCTAGGAAAAATAAAGGAAGAGATATATAAAATAGCGGGGAGGGAAAGGGAGTCGTGAGTTCAGGCCTCCTGTGTGACAGCCCGAGGCGGGGGGGGGGGGGGGGGGGGGGGGGGGAGGGTGCCAGCCCGCCCCACCTTGCCGCGTCTGCCGGAACCGCCCGGAGCGAAGCGGCCGCAGGCCGGACGAGCTAAAGGTGCCGGGGAACGCACCGCCGGTCCCGGTCCCGGTCGTGGCCGTGGTCCCGGTCGTGGCCGCGGTCCCGGTTGCGGCCCCAGTTCCCGGCCCCGGTCCCGGTCCCGCCCGGCGCCTCACGGCGCAGCCGCTGCCCCCACAGCGGCCGGCGACGTTGCAGGGCCGTGAGGCATTGTGGGTACTCGCCTTAACCCGCGGAGGTCCGGGCGGGGTAATGAGGGGTAATTAGCGGTAATTAGAGATTGTGGCGGGGCCGAGCCAAGTGAGGGGATGGGTCAGAGAATCCCTTAAACGCGGGTTTCTCAGCTGAAAAGCAAGGACAAAGACACGTTATCTTGTACAGCGAGAGGGAGGTCATTATTTTATTAAGTGCATGTGGCATTTCTGGTAACCTAATGGCAATATTCATTGTAGCTGCGTGAGGTTGCTGGGCTGTTGCTGAAAAATGCAATGAATATCAATAGCCCTGGATGCTGCAGTTAATAATAAATACATCTCATTTATTCATTTATTATCTTATTTACTCATAATAATATAAGCATTTAATAACAACTGGGCTGATGTTTCATCCCACGGCAGAAAATATTTCACGCATTACTCTTCTAGTATTTTTCATTAGGTGACTTAATGTTAGTAGCAAGGAGGTTCTGTCAAGATTTACAAAAATAAGGCACCCCCCAAAGTCACTGAGTTCTCAAGCCTCTTAAGTTAAAAATGAGATCGAGTCTTTGGTGGCTCTGGTGACAACCAGAACCCGGCCCCCGAGCCTTGGCGGAAACCCGGGCCCACACGCAACAGGCCTTGAAGGTATTCAGGGAAAAAAACATGCCAAAGAGTGAATTATCAGACTTTTTTTTTTTTTTCCTTTTGATAAGCGAGAGGAAATGGATTTGTTTCCACCAAGCAAAACCGAAATAAAGCTTGACGTTGAACTTTTGTGTGCGCTCTGCTCAGCTTCACGTACAGACTGAAAAAAACCAAAAACAATCAAACAAACAAACAAACAAAACATAAAAAAAAAAAAAAAAAAAAAAAAAAAGCAAAACAAAACAACCAACACTCAGTGGTTTAGCTCTGAGGGAAGGTTAGCCCATAAAGGTGATCGATATCAAATTACGGAGTGTTTTTCAGTCAGTTATTTCTGTAAGCGAAGGGAGGGGGTTACAGCTGAGGCCACCCGTTGCTCCCAGACCAGGAGAGGAGGCCGAGGGGCCGGTCTGGAAGCACAGACCTCGCCTCGACAACTCCCATCCCTTGTTCTCCAGAGATCCTCCCCAAAGGTGAGGGTCTGTCAGATGGGAAGAGGGCCTGGAGCTGCTTCCTGGTGCTCGGAGGCATGTGCCAGGAGAGAGCATTTATGCTATCACTAATTTCTTTTTAATCATCGACTGTAGACACGGAGCAATGCTTTAGCATTTACACATGAATCCCACAGAGACGCTACACTGCTCATTTCAGTGTAACTCTCAGTCTGGCCTTCATACTTAATAAGTAGGCTATTATCTTACTCTCGGTGCACACGAGATTAACAGGAGCCATTTTCATTACCATTAATGGTAGCTACATACATAACCCCCTTGCATCAACGAGAAGATAATGGGCCCTTAAATGTGCATGCATACGAAGGACAGAGAGAGTAGTATGAGATACGGAGCAATCTCGGCTTAAATAATTTGCTCTTGCAGTTAAGGAGATAGTGGTCTCTTTTGTTACCACCTTTATTTTCTGGTAAACGTGAACCATGGGCAATGAGGTTTCAGTTATATAGACGCCATATTATAGGGTCTGATAAGAATATTAATCTTAGTTTTTCCATATAATTCCTAGGTAGTCCAGTGATTGGTGTCGGTGGTGGTTCTGCAGCGGGTCTGGCAGGGCAGGCGTTGCACACTCAATACTTGTGCTCACGGCCTCAGGGGAGCAGTGTTGGGCAACATTTTTCATCCGCTGTGGTGCAGGGCCGGGAGGTGGATGCCTCCCATGGTCTTAATTTACCAAACATGCATGTTCACACTCTGTCTGGGCAGCAAACTCTTGCAGTGGCAGCTTTGTCTTTCCGGGATCAGAATTGCTATCGCCAAAGCACAAAACAGTGCTTCTGTTTTTTTCTTTTTTTCGCTATAGGAATAATATTGCAATTTGCCCTGAACCAGGAGTCATCCTGATGTACATCTGTGATGTACAGTGAGCAGCAAAGGCTTACCTACATGAGTGAAGGCTGTGGGATGGAACTGTCTGGTTTTCAGTAGGAATGAAGGGAAGCCACAAACATTTGCCTTTCTTAGTAAGCAAATAAATGCATGCCATTCCCTGGCAAGTCCAGTTTGCTCCGTTCCCGGAATTTGGGATGGGTGCATAGCTCTCTTCCCATCTCTGCAATGTGTGACAAATATCTATTCTAAGATAATAGATAATGCCAACTAGAAACATTTACAAAGACGTCCTGCATTGTACTCCCTACTTCTTCTCTTTCTTTAGTTATGAACTGATTCTAGCTTGAAACTGAATTACAAATATTTTTAGCACAATTGGCATTGTTATAATTGTTATGCCCACTGTCAAGCACATATTAAATGTGATGATAAGGAACAAATTAGAGGATAAAATAATAAAACACAAAGCGGGCTCAAGTCTCTGAGCTGTTTTTCACGCTGAGATTTTTCAGATAGAAATAATTTTAGTTGGCTGCTCAAACGTGTAAAAGGTAGTCTGACTTGAAATCACAGAAAAAACCTAGAGCCCAGTTCTGCAAAAATTTCACGAATACGTGCATCACAAGTGCACTGAGGAAGGCTAATAGCAAGTGAAAGCTTATTAAGATAACCTACCTAGTGTGCAATTTTGCTTGCAAGTTAATGATTTTGAGTGATGGCTTTGAAACTTCTTCCATTAGGAAAAAAAACTCTAAAAAACCAAAAACAAACAAACAAACAAAAAAACAGTGGAAGAGGATTTAAACCAAAGAGCATTTATTTTCACTTTTTCCTCTTTTGAAGATTTGCTGAAGCATTTGTAATGTGTTACTAAGACTTGATTTTGGCTATTAAATATTGCAGTCCCTGACATAAATTAAGTGGTATTACCACTCAGTTTAAATTGCACATAAATACTTGAAAAATTATCTCGTAGAATAGCTGACAGCATAAGCATGGGTTTGGGAGGAATTCCTCATAACTCTTCAAATATTAAATGAAAAAGAGAAACAACAAAACCTTATTTTGTCTTGTTTATTAACACCTATGTGGGCTGAATACAATACTCAGTACAAGCAGCACTTGTCGTGGGCTGAGAAGCTGTGGATTTTTATTGCCTTTTTCTCTCCCAACACACCTGAAATTAGCCACTATATCAGAGTAATGTGCCAGATGTCACAATGCTTAAATTGAGGGGAACAAAAAAAAACATAGATACCCTTGTTAGATAAATCTGTTCAATAAATCTGAAGAGCGAGGAGCAAGGAATAGACCTGTTTGCATGATAAATGTCACCATTCAGGTTCTGCGTTGTCATTACTTACGACTTATGTAACTATAACTGTGTGAATAATAATAAAACCCTGAACTCAGCCCTTTTAGCTCCATGAGTAGTCTCATTAGTTGATGGGAACGTGATAACACCCTTTTCTTGGAGGGTTCTTTGGTACTTCTGTACATTGCATGCTCTGAAAAACACCCTGTAAACTGTAAGCAGGTTGTCACCAGAGCCACCAAAGACTCGATCTCATTTTTAACTTAAGAGGCTTGAGAACTCAGTGACTTTGGGGGGTGCCTTATTTTTGTAAATCTTGACAGAACCTCCTTGCTACTAACATTAAGTCACCTAATGAAAAATACTAGAAGAGTAATGTGTGAAATATTTTCTGCCGTGTGATGAAACATCAGCCCAGTTGTTATTAAATGCTTACTTTATATTATTATTTATTATGTGGAATAAATGAGATGTATTTATTATTAACTGCAGCATCCAGGGCTATTGATATTCATTGCATTTGGCAGCAACAGCCCAGCAACCTCACGCAGCTACAATGAATATTGCCATTAGGTTATAGAAATGCCACATGCACTTAATAAAATAATGACTTCCCTCTCGCTCTACAAGAGAATGTGTCTTTGCCCTTGCTTTTCAGCTGAGAAACCCGCGTTTAAGGGATTTTCTGATACATTTCATCAGTTGACTTGACCCTGGCAAAATCTGTAACTACACCTAATTACCAGTACAGCCCTGCTGCGGTCAGGCAAGAGAAGCTAGAGTTTAGGCAGGAGTTTAGTCCTACAGCTAAATCAAGGAGGCCTGCCTACACTAGGGATCACACGGGGAAGCCTCCGGCACTGAATTTCATGTCCAGCTCTTCAAACCACAGACGAGATCGGGAAAGTAATCAATCCCCGTCCTTCCACTGCATATTTATAGGAAATTCACTTCTGATTTGAGCTCACCGTGCCCACTCCTCCATGCAGCTGGGAGTGCATTTTAATGGGTGCATTTCTACTATCAATCAGGTTACTAAGACATCCTTTCATTATGTTTCTCCACGTCATAGCTAGAGCTGAAGAAAAGCTTAAGCAGCTATTTGTATTTAGAGACCTTCATCAGACCTTCTGCCTATGCACATTTTTCTCCTTTCAGGCATGAGACAAAATTTGGAAAGTCTACATATGAGACAGCAAGAAACCTTACCTCTGATACTAAAACATCAAACAGAAAAGCAAAAGCTTTTTTTTTAGCAGGCAGCTATTACTACACGCAGCTTTAATTTTGTGTTAATGTCACATATATGTGTGTCACATCACAGTTTGTATCATTGTCAGTCAAAGATATCAAAGTGGCCATTTGGTATGGCCCGGGCAGGATGAAAAAGCCTGGAAGTGCTGCTAGGTGCCTGCATGTACGCTGTGGATATTCAGAATGAACTTTGGGAGGCTGGTTCAAGTGGCTTATTTCCAAGGCAATTAATTCTTTTTGAAGTAAATGTGTGTAAAAGTGCTCCTTCAGCCTGGTAGCACCTGACACTGCTGACTTCTTAATACATATTAGCTCTCACTGACTGGGATTGGAAAGAATAACACTGAAAGCATGGCAGAAAAGTAGCTCGGTTTTGTGTTTGCATGAGTTTGAACAGCTTCTGACTGAGTGTTTCATACCTATCTCGGGGCAGTACTCACATACACC